ATGACAGAGGATGAGATGGTTGGACAGTGTCATCGAAGCAACCAACATGAATTTGGCCCAGTTCTGGGAGGCAGTGGAAGACAGGAGGGCCTGGCGTGTTCTGGTCCATTGGGTCACGATTCTAAATAAACTGTACGTCCCATTAGGGATGGGTTAAAACACTCTAACAAGAAAGTCGTGTAGTTGTTTATTTTTAGAGCGATCCCAATCTTTCCAGCAAGGGACTACAGAGCAGGATAAACTCTTGTGCAGCCAGCCTCTTAGTGACACAATGGAGCATTCTGCAAATGTTCATCCATGTTGGAGGCTATCACAATCTGTCAGTGACTTCCACTGTTTCATAACATGGAGTGTGAATGAGGGTCTTCGTTTGGTCATCTCCAATCTCTAGGCAATCGGTCGAAGCCTGGTTTGTGACTCTGAATCCCGCAGATCAGTAGCCTTTGCCCTGTAAATGGTTCATCTTGACGTTCCTCAAAATCTGATTAATCGGATGCCCTGCGTTTTGGTGTTGCCATGTGGTGGCTGGGGAAGAAAGTCCCTTCAATGCCCTTTCTGCGCACCACGACATGCCCTTTGAGACAGAGGATTTTAATAAACCCATAAAAGAGTTTCTACACTACTCTTGCATAGTAGATGCCCTGGCACCATCGCCAACCCCCCATGCAATTTGCACTGAGATTCTTCCTCTTCTTTGCACCGCTAGCAACAGATAAGTTGGAGTTTCTAGATGATGTGAAGCTTGTTCAATCAAAGGGGGGGGGAAATAGCTAGATTTATGCAGGTGATTGACATGGGTGTAACTTAGAAGGTACATCCAGTGTCTTTTTTTAAAATATGTGCTTGTAGCAGATTTGGTGGTTACAGCTTGGGTTGAACTTGTGATTTTAACCTAGAAACTTGTGGTTGAACTTGAAAAGCCTGAACGGCTTGGATCCGAGCTATCTAAAAGTCCGCATCTCCTTCTATGAGCCTGCCTGGGCGTTAAGAGCATTAGGGGAGGCCTTTCTCTCATTCCCACAACCCTCATCAGTGCACTTGGTGGGGACATAGGTGAAGGCCTTCTCCGTTGCTGTTGCCTCAGAGCAAGTTATTGAGACCGTACCTGCCAGTTGATGAGGAAAAAAAAAAGAGGTGGACCAGTCTGGGGGACTTGAAACTATTCCGCTCCGTGAATCCCTGCACTTCTGCTGTGCATCTAAAGGCATTGAACCAAAAAACTCTTCAACAGTTTGCATGTTGGGTTCTCATGAGTCACCATTCCTTTCTGAGCTGCGGAAAGTCATTGTCCTCTGGGCAAACTCCCCTTTTCTTGTTACAAAATCCTGGATGGAGAACATTTGCACAAATTAACTGTACAGAAGTGAGAGAGCCGCTCCTTCATGTTGATAGTTTAGAGCAGTGGTTCTTAACCTTTGTTAC